CTCGTCGCGTCGCACTTTGCGTGTTGTGTCACGTCTCTTAGTTCGCTTCTCGTCATGCCCCTCGTCGTCACCTCTCCCTCTCTCGTCATGCACGTCTCTCCTCTCTCGCCACGAGGTACGTCTCTTACAACACGTCGTTTGTCAAGTCACGCGACTCGGCATGGCCCTCGGGTTTCTCGTCATGTCTCTCGTCGCCAAATCTCCCATCATGTCTCTCGCCGCAAATCTTGGCACATCTTCTGTCACGTCTTTCGTCACTTGTCACAACTTTAGTCGCGCAATTTGGTCATGATTCTTGTCACGTCTCTTGTCACGTCTTACATCACGTTTCTCCTCATGTTACTGAGTCATGTCTTCCGTCACGTCTCTCATCACCTCTCATGGCATGTCTCTCCCACATCTTACGTCACGACCTTCGTCACGCGTCTCGTCATGTTTCTTCTTACGTCTCTTGCCACATCTTACGTGTCCTTGCGTTTCTTGGCAGGCTTGTCGTCACGTCTCTTGTCACGTCTTACGTCAGGACTCTGGCGTCATACGTGACGTCTTTCGTCACGTCGTCTCGCGATTCGTCTCTCGGCGTGTCCCAGGACACGTCTCGTGTCACAACTCTCGCCGCGTATACGTCGTCATGTCTTGCGTCACGTCGCCAGTCACACATCTCACGTCATGTCTCTTGAAACGCTCTCGACACCTCTCACGTCACATCTCTCGTCATGTCTCTCCTCGTGTCTCTTGTCACATCTCTCATAGCGTCTCTCGTCACGTCTCCCGTCGCGTGCCTTAGCACACATCTCCTGCCGCACGTCTCTTGCCGCGTGCATTATCTCGTCCCGTGACGTCTCTTGCCGCGTTTGTCACGTCTCTCGGCACGCCTCTTTTTGCAACACGTTTCTCGTCATGCCCTTCAACAATCTATCTCTCGTCATGCCTCGCATGACTACTCCGCCTTAAACGAAATCTGCACACCAAGCTCCGAATACTGTCCCTAGCACGAAATCTATGCAAGGGCTGCGCCTGCAATAAACTTGATCACGCCGCCACCAAAGTACTGCGCCTGCCAAAAAAATGCGCGAAGAGCGCCAAAGTGCTGCGCCTGTCACAAGTTTCCATCCAAAAGCTCTCAAGAGCCGCGCGTATCAGGCAAATGAGCTTGCCACGAACTCAAAGTCGCCCAAAGTACTGCGCCTGTCACTAAATCCAACTGTGGCACAATTATGACACGCATCCCAAATCAGCACGGGACTGCACCGCCAGAATGATTTCAACCAGGTTTGACAAATTTCAAGTTCACAAAAACAGGTCGATTGTACGACAGGGCCAACAACAATGACGATCAAAAGCTTGCGACTGCCAAGCAAGACACCTCAAAACGACCACCGCTGAAGCTGAAACCACAATGGCACGGCCACCCGAACACGCAACCTTCCAAAACACGCTGCGTGCGCAGCGAAGCGACGTGCGACGTGGCAAACGCACGGGCGCAGCAAATTCAGCGCTTCAAGATTCGTGTTGCGTTTCGCAGGAATCCCAGCGGCACTTCAACTCGTTCCACGCGGACGCTTGCGGATGCTTGCGAAATCTTGTCAGTGCTTGCGACGCACCCGCGCGTCTTGCAAACACGTCCTGACCTCCGGACTCCTTCAAGAACGGGAAGCCTTCGCTACGCATTCGAGAAACAACTGATAGCAAACAACATGACATCCTGGCTTCCTGTCTCAGGCGACAGATGGCTCCATCGAAGCATGCCGAGAAGCAGAGGCGCGGTAGGATCGTGGGCAGCTAGTGTTTGGAAGCTCAGATGTGTGCTTCCTTTTTCATACCCCCTTTCGGGGTTGTTTGACATGGGCAGCAGAAGGAACCAGCCAATTTTTTGGGCCCTTTGTTTTGAGTGAAGAGCATCAGGCAAGTTGGTTGCCAGCGTAGTACATGTTTGCTCTTTGCCTGTCGTCGCTGCAGGCTGACTTCATGTGAGCCCAGCTAGTGTCTTGCGCAAGGATGGGACAGTTCCTGCGCGAGCCATCCCAAAGAGAGGATTCTCCTGTAGTAAGCCATAGCCCCGAGCACGTGCGGCGGCATACAGCCGCATTCTGCGAGTGCCAAGCACGTTGCGATCGAGGCTATGCGCAGGTGGAAAAGGCATGTTGCGCTGCTCTGGGATTCCCAGGCGCTCTTTGAAAGGAATCAACACGAAACCAGAAACATTTGATGGTTCTGATTTCAAGAGAGAGAGAGAGAGAGAGGGGTAGAGAGAGATGGGGAGGTAGAGGGGTAGAGAGAGAGAGAGAGAGTGAAAGAGAAAGAGACAGAGAGAGAGAGCGAGAGAGGGGTAGAGAGAGATGGGGAGGTAGAGGGGTAGAGAGAGAGAGGGAGAGAGTGAAAGAGAAAGAGACAGAGAGCGAGAGAGAGAGAGAGAGGGGACAGAGGGGGGAGGGTGAGGGGTGAGGGGAGGGAGAGGGAGAGAGAGAGAGAGAGAGCCACGCTTCATTATGCCCGAAGGTGGGAGGTAGCTTCTCCGGCTGTGATGGAATCGATGGAACCCTTGCATTTGGCAAGTCCAGCTGCTCATGGTTCTGGGAATAGCGGCTGTGTTCAATTCCACCGCCAATGTTGTGTTTTGCGACGGCACTTGTCGCTTTTCCATTCTTGCCAAATTTGCTTCAGCATTTGCTGCATGTTCTGCCTTGCGACCTTCATTGCTCAAGCCTCTCGGGGCATGAAGAGAAGCTTGAGAATCCTCTACGTCAAGTTCCTTTCCCGTTGATTCCGGGTCTATCCATTTCGCACGTTGCTGACGTGAAGGCCTGATGCATCTCTGCCAAGTCTCTACTGGGAGAGTCGCTTCATGGGTGGCCGTCAACGTTGAAGGGGACCCGTCGCGTCAGCCCAAGCCGTAGCCTTGAGTCCAGCAACCTCAAAATGCGAAACAAAGGAACATCAAATCCCAGATGCGGGTCAGAGGACAGTCCCCACCATAAGCAGATGCAGCAAGGAGCTCTCTTGATTCTTTGCATGGTATTGGGTAGACCTGGTTTTGTACCAGTGCCGGTGTTCAGTAGAGAACGAGGGACATAATCCCTTTTTAAGTTTTAAAGGGAATCAAAGGTCTAGGGGTAACTTCTCCATTCCTTCCAGGGATTCTTGTTTCCACAAGCACTCAAAACGGCTGGATGTTGAAAAGAAAGATGATAAGAACTGGGAATCAACCCTTAAGCAGGATGATTTCCCACTGACCTGACAAATTTGGCGAACGCCTCCAGGCGATGTTCTGGGCATGGGCAGCTGTTCTGCAAGTGTCACTGGCGGTGGAGCTAGGGACCGGAGAGGCAAGCTGCTCTGCGCTGGGCTGGACGCCCCAAAGCCTCTCAAAAACGAAAAAAAAGCATTTCCACATTTGTTCCTTGGTTTTCAGAAAGTCCACAGCAGGGTTTGCCTTGTATCCCCCTGTGTGGGAAAATGAAAAGCTTCTAAGATAATCTCTGACATGTTCAGCGTTTTTTTCCTTAGTCTCCGAACATATCAGAGACATGAAAAGGTGGCAAAATTCGGGAGCCTCCAGGCCCATGTCTAGTTACTGTCCATCCAGAGTCCACAGAGGCTGGAGGAACCCGTTTTTGGGCATGGCCACACTTACTTGCCATAAAGCCCCTTGGAGCTAAGGGGCAATGTGAGAAGAGCGTTCTGGCCAAGTGCTGAAGGCTTCTGCCTCGAGTTGATGGCAAGCATTTTCTGTTTTGGGCGACAAACGGGGGAGCTCGGCGACAGGCTTGGATGTCCGTCGGCAGTGCCGGGAATGTGGAGCGGCATAGACGTGGCAAGCCCCGAACGCCCCGCGGCATAGACGTGGAACAAGCCGGCTGTGCTGAAAGTTCACAGGCATGGTCAAATGACCTGCTTGTCTTGGGGTTTCTAAGGATGGTCATAGACCGCCAAACAGGCGTTTCAGACAATCTTTAGAGGTGTATGCCCTCAATATGGAAGCCCAACACATCAATTGGAGAGGAATCTGCTGCTCGCACTTCTTCCTCTCCTCTGTGATTTGCTCCGCTTCTCGCAGGCTCTTTCCCAACTCTCTGTTCCTGCTCTTGTCCTGGCTCTACTCTTGTCCTCAGTTTTCGGGTTTGTCTTTTTGAGGGAACTCTTTTGGGGTTTGGTCGAAGGGACAAGTCCAAACGAACCCGATGTCAATTTGTGGCTTCCTTGATTTTGGCAACTCCTTACAGCTCCCTTGCCCCGAAAGGAGAACCAACAGAAGCCAAGCCCGTTTTAGGGGTTCTCCTATTCGGAGACCACCCGCCACCTGAAATGCTGGCCTGAGGTTTGGCAGTGAGGACTCTGCTCCTTTGGCGCAAGGAGGGCACTTAGAACCTTCCTTCCACTGGGTCCAAAGCATTTGTGCAACATGAGCGGTTCTCAACATTTCGTTTGGGGGTTGTTCCCTTGAATCCACCATTTAGAGGGATGATTTTGAGGATGCCACCGTTCAGAGGAAGCAAGACATTCACGAACTCCTAGTTAGTGGATACGAAGGGGGGTCCGCATCAGGGGGCCCTTTATACAGTTCCTTTGGATTCCCTTGGTGGGTATCATGTAAGTTAGGGGTGGGGAGAACAAGGATGCTCACCGCTGATTTGGATCTCCTTTTGCAGCAGCCTATTGTTACACTCACATGCCGAGTGTTCTGACTCACATACAGATGGCTTTTTGTACGAAAGGCTTGCAGACGCCACCTCACAAAGATTGGGCACGCAGCTTTGTGCAACTAAGGAAACAAAGATGATGAGGCCTGCACTGAAGCTTGTTGGCCATGGGAGCATCACATTTGCTTGGTAACATACTTATTTGACTGACCTAGTAGGCTCCCTGAGGGGGCTGCGCATGCCTGTCAGACGACTTGTGATTTCCTCCCAAACAACAGCCATGACATAGCTGACACCAAAACGGTAAGTGCTTGGTTCCCCGTTGGTTTGCCTTTAAGGCCAACCAGAAAAAGGGATGCCCCTAAAAGGGTGCACACACGTGCAGGAGGACCGCGAGAGCCTCTCGGCAAGATCGACGCGAGTCGGAACGCGATGAGGCGGGCGGCTGAGCCATGAGATACGACCATTTGCCCGTGAATTCACATGGGGAAGGCCCTCAAAACGGTTGTGCGACATTCATATCCATATTCATTGAGATGATGCCCTGTGGTCCCAATGGAAGCTCAAACTTGTTTGGGTTTGTCTCTTAGTGGCGAACCCTTTCGGGTGGTTCTTAGCAGTCGAGAGAGAACTAGCTGCTTGGAGGGGTTCTGATTTTGAGACACCCAGTTGCTGTCCGTTGAGAATTTCGACGTTTGTACAGCATCGGAGGATATGTCTGCATTTCCAAAAACCCGGGTACCAATTTGGCCACGATATGTGTCGCAACCATCGCCATCATCATTATTATACTCATCATCATCATCATCATCATCACCACCACCACCACCACCACCATCATCATCATCATCATCATCATCATCACCATCACCATCACCATCACCATCACCATCACCATCACCATCACCACCATCACCATCACCGCCATCACCATCACCATCACCATCACCATCACCATCACCATCACCATCACCATCACCATCACCGCCATCACCATCACCATCACCATCACCACCACCACCATCACCACCATCACCATCACCACCATCACCATCACCATCACCATCATCACCACCATCGTCATCTTCACCGTTCTCGTCTTCGTCATCGTCATCACCATCACCACCGGCACCATCACCATAAACCATCACCATTACCATCGCCGTCACCATCACCATCATCACCGTCACCGTCATCGTCATGATGATGACGGCGCCGACGCCGACGACGATGATCATCGATGATGATAATGATGATGACGCTTGACGATGACGATGACGCTTGACGATGACGATGACGATGACGATGACTGTGATGCTGACGATGACCATGACGATGATATGATCATATCGTCATCATCATCATCATCATTGTCGTCATATTCTAACAAGTTGCCAAAGTCTCACACAGACCCCTTTCGCGTTCCATGCTCATTTGCGGAGAAAATAAGCCAGGCATCCAACAAACCACCACAAGGCAGCAAGAAAACAACTCTGAGTGGTCCTTTTTGCTTTGGGAAGGATGCAAAGTTATTCAGCACACAATGGCAACCACAAACAAGTATCGCCTTCGGATGATCAACTCTCCGCTGTCTTTGTTAACCCGTGTTCTACTACTTGTTTGATGGGGACCATAGCAAGACCTGCACAAACCTTTATAGTCGGCTTGGTAGACTCAAAAGTCAATGGGTTTCGGACGCTGCGTTTGGCAAAGTGGCGCGGAGGCAATGCCGGATCATGATAAGGTAGAGGTCTTCAATGAGGCTGGCAGATGGGAAGAAACGAGCGACTTGGGAGCTGGGTTGATTCTTGGGCGTGCCTTTTTGTGGAGTCCTTTTTTTGGGGCTGTTTCAAAGGGAAATCAAAAGGAACCAACTGCTGGTCCAGCATTTCGAGAGAGACCCTGTAGGTGCCGCTCTCCCAGCTTAGAGAGCTCGGTGTTGAGTGGAGGAATAGCTTGATGAGCATCTTGGCTGTGCCCTGGGGATCTGCAGTCTATATGCTTGGATGTCGAAGCTTAGTCAAGTTGAATATAGCCATAATGTGTGAGCCAGGGGTTGCGCCACTAGAACCACTCACTAAGTGGGGTTGAGCATCCAAGTGCATACAGCGTCTTGCGAAGCTTGAATGTGAATACTTGTGTCTTGCGAACAACCCATCTCACTTCTTGCGCTTCTCACGTGGACTTGCAGATGCTTATACCAAGGGTTGCTCAAAAAAAGTACATCCCCATTCTGGTTCCCAGTGTCCTTTGTTTTCCCTTTCTTTCAGAGGGTCACGCAATGATCTAAAGCAACTTCTGGACAACCTTCAAGTGACATGGGAATTAGCCGCGTAATCCCGGTGTGTCCCATGTCAGCTCCTTTGCTACATTGGATGACGGAGAACTTTGACTGCTTGGGGACATGGGCTGCTTGGGGACATGGGCGCGTGTTTTGTTAACTGTGCCCTTTTCTGATTGGCTTCAAGGGAAGCCAAAAGGAGAATCACAATTTTCGGTTCAGGCCCTCCTATATTGACTCAAACCCAAATAGCTCCAAAAAGTCGGGGCAGTGTCTTTGTGGCGACCAACTCCTACTGCAAAGGGGACCCCTGTGGATGGGGGAGCCCCCTGGTAAGGCAGGTGGTTTGTGGATATATTGGACTACCCTTTGTTGGGGAATGCCACTTGACTGTGGTGTTCCAAGGCAACTCCAGCGGTGCTGGCGACTTCAGGCTCAGAGACGCGTCCGTTCGAGCCGTGTTCGAGGCAGTTTCGTGGGTAATGACGCGGCCATGAAATTGGATGGGGAATAGCCTGCCAATTGGTTGCTGGACATAAACCGCCGTGTACTTTTGACGTATGGCCGCATGGCACTCAAGTTCCAACTGTCAGGTGGGGCAGCGCCATCCCCATCATCCAAGGGACGGCCGGGGCTGCGGGACCCAAGGGCAAGGCTGGGCCCAAGGGGCCCAAGGGCGAGGCAGGTCCTGCAGGGGCCAAGGGCGATGCAGGAGCGGCTGAGCGTGTCTTCAGATGTCAGATGGGCCACTGGGTCGGCCACTGGAACCAACTGCTCCAGTGTTCATAGATGTTCTGATTCGAGCTCTCCGCCCCGTCCTTCAGTGGATGCATTTTCTGGTATTGATCTGTTAGCTGTGAAAACCAATGCATCTCAGAATCATGTCAAGAAAAGTCGGCGACAGGAGACGCGGGAGAGAAGGGGCCGCCAGGAGAGCAGGGGCCGATGCAGGACTCGAGACTGGGATGCAGGCCCCAAATCCCTCCACAACACTTCTTTTGCTGGTGCGATAGGTGGGGAATGTGGGACCCTCAAAGGCAACCACAAGGGAAGGTTTGTAGGGGTCGTTCCCTCATTCCCTGCTGAGCACCAACAAGTTATTTGGATGGAACTACAGATAGTGGATGGGTGTGTGAACTCTTCGAACGAGTGGCCCGAAAGTTCAGCTGAGGCCAAGACATACATTTCTGTCCAATGTTCGCTGCTACCAACTGGTCTACCTCCAATGTAGTTTCCCTTCGCGCACCAACAGGTTGCACCTCTTCAGCTTTCAGCTTCTATGCTAAGGAAACCTCCACCAGAGGGGATTGCATCTGTAAGTGCCTGCCTCAGCACCGACATGCGTTTGACTGTTGTACTCGTTGGCTTTGAGGCGTGATTGGCGGCGTCATCGTTTTCAACCTGATCTCTGCAGGCTTTGTTTATGCCATTGTGTCAGGACGGGAGATTTGCCGTGCACCAAATTTCCGATGACCTCAGAATGCCCCTTCACAGACTTCGGGGCGAGCTGGAGTGGCTGCGACTTGTCACCCTTGCAGGAAAGCTCAACAAGGGACCGGCTGAAGGAAAGAGCATGGAAGAAGCACCAGAGGCGCGCACAGGATTTGAGAAATGACCCATATCCATGAGGGGCCCAAATCATGATTTACCGCAAAAAAGTATACATGAGAGATCTTTTGGCCTTCAAGATCAGGAAACCACAAGCTGGTGACAGGAAGCACGCATTTGTCCACTGCATCCAGAACACAAGGGTGTCATGGCGAGTCTGGCTGAGTGAGGAGATGATGGAAGAAGAAGCGTATCCAGAAGAGGAGGAGCAACCGGAAGAGGCTCAGACCTGAAGCCGCTTGGCCGCTTTGTGCGCTTTGTTCCCTTCAGTAGGAGAGAGAGAGAGAGCGAGAGAGAGACAGAGAGAGACAGAGAGAGAGAGAGCTGTGTACCAAGGCGCAAGAGTCGTGTAGATGCCGTGACCGCCCCGCCACCCCATTCACTTTGCCCAATTGAGACCTGACCGTGAGCAACACGTTTGTAGGGGAGATGACTCCAATGTTCGTTTGCAGCTGTGCTTTGGACTTGGAATGGGCAAGTTGAAGACACTGTTCAGTGGTCACTTGCAGCCTTCCCGGGCTTTCCTTTGCCTGAATGCTGGAGCATCCGCGGCGCCGCAGCATGGAGCTGCCCATCAAAAAGGTCGAACACGGGCGGTTGGTGTCCACAAATTGATGACGGCCTCAAAAAAGGGCAGGCTTAGTAATTTTGTCCTTCAGTCAACTGGGAGGGGGTCCCCAATTTTTGTAAACACCCAATTGCAAGAGGCGACGACCTGCGTAGCCTGCCGCATGTTCGCACCAAGTTTTTGAGTGGGCTTGTGCGCACGCAGCCCATCTCTCCAAGATTCTTAGCAGAAGCACAAACACGGAGGTTCAAGTCAATCAACTTGCAGTGGTTTGTTTGAAGGCGTAGATGTGTTGCGCTTTGCTGATGCATGCAAATCGTCGCTACCATAAGGGTCTCCGTTTTTGTTTTCTTTTTTCTTGTGATACGGGCACGCAAATTGGGTGGAGCGATGGGCTTCCGCTTGTCTTTTGCAACGAGGCGTTCGAGCGCATCGCAGGTGTTGGCGCGCCGCCTCTACTCGTCATTTGCGGGACTGAAGCACGAAGCGCGCCTCGTGCAACAGCCCGAGTTCCACCGCTCTGGGCAAGAACTGCCTGTGCTGCGGCTAGTAGGGGAAAATGGGCGCCTCGTCCCAGGCGCCGACATGCCATGTGACATGGCGACATACTTGGCCATGTACAAGAGCATGGTGACTGTTGCCGTGGTGGACCAGGTGATGAACTCTCTGCAGCGCCAAGGGCGCATCTCCTTCTACATGACCGGCACAGGTGAGGAGGCCGCCCAGGTGGGCACGGCAGCTCGCCTGGGCCGGCGAGACGTGATTTGGGCGCAGTACCGCGAGCTGGGGACCTACCTGTACCGGGGCTTCACCATCCAGCAGATGGTGGACCAGTGCCTGAGCCGCGGCGATGAGCCGGGGAAGGGGCGCCAGATGCCGGTGCACTACTGCGACGCCAGCCTGGGCCTGCAGGCCATCTCCTCGCCCCTGGGCACCCAGATCCCCCACGCGGTGGGCGCAGGCTATGCGTTCCGCATCAGCGGACAGACCCCCGGCCCAGTGCACTCCTTTCTTTTGCAAGCTATGTTCTTGGAAAGGGGTTTCCTTGAAGTCCACCAACCAAAAACACGTGCCCTTGTTTGAGATGGCCATTCCTCTGAGGCCTCGAGTGGGTGTGACTTACTTCGGCGATGGGGCGGCCTCGGAGGGTGACTTCGCAGTGGCGCTGAACTTTGCGGCCACATTGAAAGCCCAGACTTTGTTCCTTGGCGGTTCTCAGTTCAAGGGGCGTGACCGCACTGAACCGTCCCAGTTGTTTCTTCTGCATAGATTCGGTTCCTTTGTGAAAGCCTTGGTCCATTGACTGCCCAAGGTTCATTTGCCGCAACAACGGGTGGGCCATCAGCACCCCCTCGCGGGAGCAGTACGCCGGGGACGGGATCGCGGTGCGGGGCATCGCCTACGGCATGCCCTCGCTGCGGGTGGACGGCAACGACCTGGCCGCGGTGTACCTGGCCACGGAGAAGGCGAGGGAGCTCTGCCTGGAGGGCCAGCCAGCGGCTCGCCCGAATTCGATTCGGACAGGTTCGGCCAAACGCCATGAGTTTCTGAGCTCGCAGGGGCCAGGTGAATGGACAAATTCATGCGTTTGTCTCTATTTTGGACACCTTATGCTCTTAGCTTTTTCCTGAGGGCAGTCGGGCCCAGACCTGGAAGCACCAGGAGGCTTTCTTGATTCTGCTTTGGGTATACACCCCTCTCCAACCTAACAGGAGGGTTGTTAGAACAGTGGTGAAAAAGGCCTGGGCATGCAAAAGGGAGACGTACCACCACAAGTTGGATAGCCCTGTTGCCAAAAAGAAAAACACCTGTTAATCAAGTCACCAAACCCGGGTAGATCTGTTCACACCACAACGCAGAGGATAATCAATTCAGAGGACTCCAAGCTTGCACCAAATGACAATCGCGTGTGTGCGTGTGTAGCATCCTAGAACCCATGCGGGTGTGTCCTAAACTGCACCCGCATGGGGGGTTATCCTTTTGGTTTCCCTTCAGTACCATCCCAAAAGCCCCTCAAAAAAGACTCACCCACATACTGTATCTCACCAAGCTCATCCCATGGGGCTCCTTCAAGGTTTTGAGCTCCGAGGTTCTCCTGGAGCTGATGACCTACCGCCGGGGCCACCACAGTACCTCGGACGACGCGGGGAGGTACCGGGACAACCGCCAGGTGCGCCCGGGCCAGGAGCAGCCGGTGCCTCGCGCCAGGCGGCTGCTGGAGGACGCCTGGTGCTCCAATTCCTTCGTGACGTGGGGCCCAAAATGGGGGTGGTCTGTTGTTTTTTGGGGAGGGGGGGGGGGTATTCTTTGATCTGTGGCTCCCAACCAAACTTTCAGAGGGCGGACAAAATCCAGGTTTTCCAGGAAAAAGCCTTTTCGAGGCATGTTTTCAAGGCGAAATTAGAGGAAAGCCACTCCCTTTTTTTGTTGCTTCTCTCCAATTTGGGTTAACCCCGCAAAATGGGTAGTTTTCCAATTGTTCCAAATTTTGGCAGTCCCGGTTCCACCTAAGAAAGGAACTCTGGGCTCAAAACAGATACAACCAGTGGCGGAAAAGGAAAGGGACGGGAGGGGCGGACAAGCGTGGAGATCTGTGTGCGCTGCACGCTTACAGTTGTTTTCACGTTTCACGACTTTCCGATCTTCGAGGCAAGAAAGTCTTGCACACGCACACACAGAGCAGAATTGCAGAGGTGGATCTTCCGAGGATCGTGTTTCGCACCTCGTGTGGCAGCAAATCCAGTTTTCCTGGAACCGTCAATCCGCTGTGCCGCCGCAGGAGGCGGGGGAGTGGGACGAGCAGCGGGACCAAGACCTGCGGCACCAGCTGCGGGAGGAGTTGATGGAGGCGCTGAAGACGGCGGAGGCCAAGACCTTTGGGAAGGTCAGCGACATGTTCGAGGACAGGGGGAAGAATGGTCGGGTAGGGGCAGTGGGATTATTTGTTTGGGGAAGGATTTGCTGGATAGGTTGGAGAGAAACCAAAGATTCCGTTTTTGTTTGGGCATCGTTCGTTTGGGACTGTTCGGAAGGTTTGGTTTGGTTTGCAAAATGGGCCATGTGACCACCCGCAGACCGGGACTCGGCTCGGGTTGCTTTTGACAGGGGAATGGGTGTGTTGCCTTGTTGGCAAATAGCGCTTTTTGTGCAGATGCTTTGGGAAACGCGTACATGGTAGGCGGTTCATGCAAAGCTATCAACGACAGTACAGTTTCCGACTGGTGTAAGTAAAGCAGCACGACAAGCAGGGCTCAGCAGATGCATCAGGACTAGGATTGCATGTTGCAGCATTTTGCGTCCTCTTGAGATTGGAGATGGAGTCTAGAAAGGGAGACAACGAATTCGACTTTGTGAAGACCTAGGGCTAATATCCCGGCAAAAGGGGTTGGAGCTCTGGTTCGATTCCATGGGCCCGAAAGGCATCCTGCCTTGCGCTTAGGACGTCTGGAAAACAGCCACTCCTGAGCTGGCAAGACAGAGGCAGGAGCTCAAGGAGCACATCTTGCGGCATCCTGAACACTTCGCGACGAAGTTGAGTAAGTTTAAGGACAGGGCTTCTCGTATTTCAACCTTTGTTGGGAGCATCAAACATTGCAGTTTCATAGCAATTTGACCAGGGTTCCCCTAAGCTGGTGCGTTGTTTGGTTGAGAATTCTAATGACCCCTGAAGGACGGCAACGCGGGACTCTAAGCCGACTGCCCTTTGCAAGCGGTCGGCTCTTGTGGTGACTTGCTCCACGATATCGTGCCATCAGTTGGCTTTCAAAAGATGTGCGCAGCCTGATGGCAAAGGCCTCAGTACTCTTTGCTCTCACTGACTGCAGATCCTTGAGTTTGGGCTCGTGAGATACTGATTGTTCCCAAAACCTGGGCAGGTTCCGGAAGTTCTGGGGGCAAGTTTGACCCCATGCCTATTTTTGTCCCCGTCAGGAACGGTGTGTGGAGTGTGTAAAAAGAAGTGAAAGTGTAAGGTTGGTAAGCAACGACAAAAAAATTCTCAGGCCTTTTGGGACTAGGGGTCCTGTTATATATTTCTGCGTTTTCTTGGTAGGTAAGCATCACCTCTTCGGATCCTTTGCAAGAGGCGGGGGGGCGGCAATGGCCTGGCGAGTTCTGCTACTGGCTTCGGGCGCTGCCGGCTCCTTGCTGCATGTGGCGGCTGGCAAGGGCAACGTGAGCGAGGCACGAATCGCGAGCTGAAGGCAAGCATTTTTTCATAGAGGTACTGCAAGAAGGAGGCATAGTTTAGTTAAGGGTATCCTACCGGAGGCCTTTCTAGGAGTTGTCTTCCAAAGGGGGTCCGTGCACTCCCGTTGGTGGGGAGTGTATCCATACATGGGGCTTGATGTGAAGCTGCTGGTTTTGAGGGCTCCCAACTCTTATGTATTTAGCCATTTTGATCTGTGCGGTGGGGTTTGGGTGGTTCGGGGGCGGAATTCGATGCTATTGGTGGAACTGGGTTGAAAAAAGTGTTGATGTCATTGGTGACTTGTTTCATTGTGTGAACAAAGAAACACCATCCGATTGAATCCTTTTTGAATTGTTTGTGAAGCAATACTCTGAAGGTGGCTGAGCTGCTAGATCGAAGAGGACGGGTTGAAGCGAGAAGCACGGTTATGCACAGACTGAGAGGCGTCCAAAGACCGAGTCATCCTGCGTCCATGCACGCAGGGGCCTGTCTTTTTTGTAGTTACCCTTATCGGGAGTTGATTTAAAAGGGAAGCAACAAAAGCAAATGGAAGCTGGTCACGCTCTATAGGGGTTCCATCATATAGAACCACGCCATACGTACTGAACCCTCCTGGTTAGGAACAGACAGAGATTGGGATTCTACAGCTCAGCTTTCTTATCTCTGTAACTTGAAGTTGATTCTGGGCTTCTTCTCAAATCAGGCTTCTCACATGTCCAGTCCATTTTGCTACAGGCTTTGTTTGACTCCGGCTTCCCGTTTTCGGTCTTCGGGGCTGTGAGAGGCCTCCTGCCATGGATCAACCATCGTGCGGTGGAAGGTGACACCCCGGTGATGGCCGCCAGCCTCGCCGGCCAGGCCGAGGCGCCGTCTCAAAGGGACGCACGGCGCACGGGGGGAGGAGTTTGTGGGGAGTATCAATGTACGCGCGACCCCTAAAAAAGTCTGGTTTGCTGGTTGTTGAGGGACCGAGTCATTGAAAAGTCAAGCAAGAGGGTAGGAGGTCCGATTCGTTGGACAATGGTTGAAGAATCCAACCTGAAATGTACGCAATGATCATCAATGATGGGTGTCCGGCTAATTTCCGTGTTCCAACGAGCAGATCAAACTGGAAATTTGTTGAATACCGTGTCCTTTTTGAGCCTTTTTCAATCCCAAAAGACCTTCACCCCCATTGGTAAGCGTGCTGTTGGTTTGGGGAGGACTTGCGGGGCCCCCAAACTTCGGCAAGAGTTGGTGGCCCACCGCATTTCTCCCATAGCTCAATTGGTCGGTGAGGTGGTGGAACTGCTCATCCAGCGGGGCTGCAATGTGACCATTGCTGACAAGGACCTCGAAATGACCCCCACCATCGTTGTTTGCTTGGGGACTGAGTGTTTTCTTGCCACACAAATAGGCCCCTTGCTGCGTTCTGGAAATTGGATGGGCTACCATGGGGTTCGGGCGGGAGTCCTAAAAGAAGACTGATTTCTGATTTAGTTGGGACTTAGGCTATGAAACTCAAGGTTGGAATCCTCCAAAAGGGTTGGTGCTTGCACAATTCCCATGAATGATGTCCTCCAAAGAGTCCAATCACTTAAAACCTACGTCCATGTCGACCATGACCGACAGCACAGGGTCCAAGCAGTTGATTTTTATGCGCCGCTTGGAGGATGGTTACAAGCCGCTGGATGCAGCCGCAGCCCACGGCCACAGTGAGGCAGGACGTGCCTCATGTTGCAGTCTGTTGTGCAGGTTGTGTTTGTGGCGCCTCCTGAAATGGGCGTGAAGTCTCACTGGTTGAACCCCCAGCCCTTTTGAGAGTGTTGACAGCCTAATCACCTAGAGCCTCCTCGTTGGTCGGAATACATGTGCCATTCCTAGGTTGTCAGTGCTCATCAAGTGCAGGTTCCCAAAACATGCAGCCTGCAGAACGCCTGCCCATGCTGTGGCCTTTTTTGGAAGTTGCGATGCCGACTGTGCCAAGTGTGTCCTGATTGGAAGCGGCAAGGTTGTAAGCGTGCTGATGAAGTACAGTCCGCCTTCGAAGACATTGCATCTCGCATGGCAAGCTCATATGACGGTTTGAAATGCTTTGAGAGGCCAAGTTCCTAAATGGAGGTTTGCCATCGCCAAACTGGCATACAGCATCAAGTCAGAGCAGCAGGAATGGCTTTGCTTTGCCCCAGTCTTCAATAGTTTTGACTCAGGCACACATTCCACAGAGATGGCTTTGCGCCTCTGCATCGTGCCTGCTGGGGCAATAGCTGCGCGGCTGCAACTAAGATGAGACTCTCTCTGGTTGTTTCCACTCTGGCAGTACGGTACTCAAGCCTACAGTACCATCCCTCCCACTAACATGGCACCCGACAGAGGTTCCCCTGACAAGGACATCGATCTTTCAGGTACCTTTCCATAGAGACGCTATGTTTGCGGGAGGAAGGGAAGAGGAATGGTAATCAGTAGACAAGGGGCCTCTTCAAGGATGGTAGTCTTCCAAGCCCTTCCTGTCAACTTTCAATGTTGGAAAGAGGGTTGTCCTCATTGCAGGTCACGAGCACAGCCAAGTTGTCCAAACCTTGCTTCGGGTCGGGCTCTCAGACATCTAGTCGATGATAATAGGGTTAATCACGAGAAGACCCTCTTTGGGGTGCATTTATAGGACAAGCAAAAGGAAGCCAGAGTTTGCGCTAACCCCAAGTCAGCAACTTGGGCCGCTCCCTGAAAGCCTATCACTTAGAGTGAGGCCAGTGGTGGTTTGATTCTTTGCTTTGCAGGTGAATGTAGACCCGGTCTTGCCAGCCAGCAATGGATCCACATGCCTTCAGCCGCATGACTGCAGTTCTGGTGCCTGGGTCCTTTGGTCCTTTGTTTCTTGGGCCGAGGCTTGCAAGTCGCCAAGAGACGCGAGACGCCTTGCAGAAGTTTGGAATGCTGCAGTGACAGTAGAAGACAACATCTGCTTGTAGCCAGACGTTCTCTTAGGACATACTGGCCGCTCACTGCGGGTCGTTTGCGAGCTGTGCGTCAGAAGCAAGCGTGCGCTGACAGCAAGCGCCAAGAGTTTGTGAATGTTGGGAAGAGTCGAGGAGCACAGATGAGATTGCTCTGAGGCCGATCAGCCTTCTTCAGCAGCGAGAACTGAGCTTTAAAGTGCTGGGAACAAGACTGCGAGAGCGACTTTGCCATCCAAGTTGACCACCACACAAGGGAAGTAGCGCCAGGCTTCAATGAATGGAAGATTCCTGACAGACACTACTACAATTTGGATTTTCAACAGTATGCCGGAGGTGACCGACTGGGAGACTCCAACAACAGCGTCAGTTGAACATGAACAACAGGCGGGAAACCCGTGTCGGTTTGGGGCTGGTACTTTGGGACTGATAGCAGCTGACTCCCACGAAGCAAAACCTATCCTGGGTCGTGCCTGATCCAAGGGGGACTCCACTAAACAATTTCACAAGCAACAGTTGCACTCGACCACGTCTTTGCTTACGTTTGCCTTTCTGCGGCGATGGCACAAGACCTAAAGGTCAGGCCTCCGTGTTCTCACGAATCCTTCCGTGTGCTGCGAAAACTCGCGGCTTCCATTTCACCTAGAGCTTAGGTGCAGACGATACAACACGCAAACCCACCAGCGCAGCCAAGCAGCGAGCAAGCTGCTTTGACCGGAAACAAACTTCGTGTGCCATGGAGACGTCTATCCGAACGAGTGATGCTTGAGCACGTGGTGCTGGTGGCTATTCTCAATGCGGCTCTTTCGCATACCTTGGAGAGCCATGTCACAGAGGCGGAGGTTGGGGCCTCAGGCTTCGCAATGTACTCTGGGCCAGCTGCTGGCGGGGGAGCCAGAAAGCATAAGATGGAGTGATGGTCATGTCGTGTGTGAATGTGTCTGTGTGTGAGCGCAAACACACCACATGGCAAAGAAGACAAGCGCCGACCTTTGCAGGTACGGAGGCAGCCGCTGATGCGGCGCCACAGTGCCATCATCTCGCCCGCAGGGGTAATCTCGCCGGAGGTGGGGCAACACAGCCAGCCCGCACTTCACCACGCAGAAGGGCACCAAAGGGAAGGATGCTTCAAGGGGGGGGCTTTCAACCAGAAGGGGATTGAAGGATGCAGCACTGCTTCGCACTTCTCTGCAGCCTCCAACTTGTGGGACCCCGCAACTGCTTGTGGCCCGCCCGCTTTTTTCCGTCCAATCCAGGTGGAGTTTCCTCAGACCTGGCCCTCGCCGGTGGCCTCGACGGGTTCGGCCTTGGAGCAGGCACGCCAGCCGCTGGCCAAAGGCCCCGCGATGCCATCGCTGTGGCTGGGGCTGGGCCTCAGTTCTGTGGGGGTCCTGGCAACGCTCAGCCTCCTGCGGGTCCGGCGGGTGGACCCTCGGAGCAGGGGATGCCATTGCAGTTCTCCGTTTCCTGTTTGGGGCGAGATGAACATGCCAAATGAGCCTTGTGAGGCACATGTTTTGAGATAAACACTTCTCTGGGTCTTTTGTGGCAGCTTAGAGGACACCTTTTTTCGCAACTCTGGTTATCCAGACGGGGTAGGATCCCTTGCCAGCGGCGAATCCCTTGTTGGAGGGGAGCAGGTTGCCAGAGTTGCTTCACTTTCTTTGCACTGGCAGGTGTTGATCCGTGGTTTTTTCCATGCGCGAGCAACCAGAACCACCCATCGACGGATTTTCCTCAGGACATCGCCTCGGAGGAGAGCCTGCCGCCGCGGCCGGGGTCCGTGAGCTCCAGCTTGCAGATGCTGGGCATCACCAGCTTGAACGTAGCCTACGGTGCTATGATCTCCACCATGGCCATCTTCGTGTTGCCCAAGGAGGGGGAGAAGGGGGAAATCCGGAGCTGACCCGAAAGTCAGGCTCTTGGAGAGTCCGGGAATTCACGTTGCTATGACACAGGCAAACACGTGAGTCTGCAACACAACACCGGGGGGTTTTTGAAGTCCTCATGAAGCAAAGCCTGACTGTTTCTGAATTGAAGTCGCAACTGACGTTGCGCTGTTTGAGCCTGTTTTGCCGGCCTTCGGTGCAGAAGCATTTAACAATCACTATGCTAGGTCTGGCCTTTTGGGAAGACCCTTTGGGCTTCAAAGCGGATTTACCCTGTCAAGATCAAGACAGCACTGAGAACATGTTGATTCAAGTTGTTCGGTGAGTGCAGACACTGCCGATGTTGCAGCGCTACGCGCCCCCCCAATTCACCAACTCCCCGGTGTGGGGCTACCTTCCATTGTCAAGTTGGGAGCGCCACCCGCAAGATACAGAGTTGAAGCCGCCTTCGGCCGCCTTCAGACAACGTTGTGACTTCGAAAGAGGGCCGGGCAACCAGCGGCCTCCAATTCTTTCAGCTGCGTCAAGGCTTTCCCGTGCTTCGACCCCCAGGGCATACAGAAGTTTGGTTCATGTTTTGATGCATCCCACGTTTGCAAAACATAGGGTTCCGGATTTGCAGCATGCCACGGTTGAGCTCATTGCAACCCCTAAGGAACCTCCGCAACAAGCGCTCAACCTCAAACCCTTGGGCTTGCCCAATGCAAACGCCGGATAGGAGGCTGAGCACTTCTTCCCGCGCCAGTCTTCTCTGGGCCTCGGCCTGCTGGAGCTTCTGGGGGCCTTTAGTTTGCTCTGCGGACCGGTGGCGGGCCAGATGTCAGCACCCTGGCGAGCGCGTTTTGCTTTTGGCAGCTGAGCTTGGCCTTTCTTGGTTTCGCTGGTACAGGGTAGCTGAGTGGTGGCGAAGTGGATTGCTCTTTTGGTTTGTTGCGCGGTGTGGCTTTGGTTGTAACTCCACGAATAATCTGGGAAGAAGAAGAAGAAGAAGAAGAAGAAGAAGAAGAAGAAGAAGAAGAAGAAGAAGAAGAAGAAGAAGAACGGTGAGGTCGGCAAAGAGTGGATCCATGCATATCAGAATGGTGTGACGAGCTAGTGTCCAAGGAAATTTTTGAGTGACACGAATCTTTTGATGGCTCTCAACGAGACTTGCGGCTTTATTTTGCTGTCAAATGTTCGAGGATCGCCAGAAGCATCCGCTGGGGCGGCGGCGACCAATGGTCTCCTGGCAAGCAAGGACCTTCAGAACTTTGCACGATGCTGCCTTTTTTTGGATTAAACAACATATTTCTCATTTTTGCCGTTTCCAGAAATGGTCAGAGTAAGAAACTGGAGTTGCACAGCATCACCCTTACCACTGAGGTAACTCGGAGAATGATAGCACAACAGTACCAGCTTTGCCACCAGAGTCAATCAAGGTACTGGTGGCTTCTCAGCTTGCTGTGGCCAGTACAATTGGATGTTGGCTGGCGTCACTATACGGCTATCCAGTGGCCTTTTCCGTGTGCCTCCTGGTTCAACAGATTGCGTGGAACTGTGCCCATGCGGCGCACAACGCGCTGCTTTCCGAGGCCAAGACTGCATTGGATCAATGTTCTCAGCTTTTTTGAGTCAGATTTGTGCAGTCTCTTGCGGTCCCTTCCGCGGTGTCCAATTCCGATTTTTCGGAATGTGCCCGTTTAAGCCGAAAGTTCTCCGGTGCTTGTGTGAAGTACTTCTCCGGTGTAAAGCCAGCTTTCTGCGGCCCTGCATCAAGTGTGATTGCACTCTTTGCATCTTCGGTCCATGATTTGATTTTGCAAACATGGAGCGCACCATGCGCCAAGAAAGCAGGAGCGGAGGGTGTGCAAAGCCACCGTGGCTTTGTGAATTCAATGTTGTATACTTGTTGAATCGCACGGACGTACAAAACAAGGGGTGGTGACGTACTTGCAGCACCCAGTTGGGCCAAACTTGGAACAACCCCTGGTTCCTTCGTTTTGGGAAACCAAAACGTTGTTTAGACAATGGTGGTTGTGCAATGTTCACATGAGGGGAGGGCGGCAAGGACATCATCCACCCCACCTGCACTGGCTTGGCTTCCTCGCTCCAGACCATCAGCCTGCTGGTGGGCGGTATGGTGGGCATGCTGGCTTTTCAAGGCTTGACGCAGCAAGGCAAGGGGTGGGCAGGAGGTTGCCTCAGGAATTTTAGGTGTGCTTTCTGGTTGGAGTTTGTTGAAGTTTGGGTGAGCATTGATGAAATAGAGATTCCATTTTCTCCTACCAGTGGAATGCGTGGATTTTGCCAAAAGGACACCTAGGTCAGGAGCTTGCCGGCAATGGACGAAGGTGAATAGTACAGTTACACCTTGGCGCCAGGGGTTGAAGGCATCAATAAGGGTGCGGAATGCCACTTTGCCAACTTCTGCATTGTGCCCTAAGATGGGGAACTTTCTTGTTTTGTGTGCTGGGTAAAGTCAGTTTGAGCCTGGATTTGGGCAGGGCTCCACCACAGCTACGTCTACGGAGTGCAGGCTGCATTGACTTACCTCTTCCTTCCCTTGGTGCACCTGACAGCACGGGAGGCTGGGGATTGAGATCGCAAGAGCTTCGAGTCTTGCTTCAGGCACAAGGCGAGGAAAAGATCTTCGGATTTGTTACCCGAGATTTCGTTGCCAAACCGGACATTGTCAGGCGAGCAGCCAGGCGATGCTGCTGCCCAGCGACCCTGTGTCTATGAGCACAGTCTTCCGCATGGGCGAGGACACGCACGGCACACGTGAAGAGTACTCACTGTTCCTCAGGCCTTTTTTTTTAGATCCATTCTTTGGCGAAACCTCCCAAACCAATGACCAAAGAGCACTTCTCCTTTCCGACCCTGATTTTAGGTGCCGAATCTTCTCGGCTTGCACGGCCAAACCGTTTAGGACAAAAGCCCGGACTTTGTGCTGGTGATGTGGGAGCGGGGTGTGTACTACGTCGCCTCCGGCGCCAAGAGCTTCCTCCTCTTCTTCGCCAGGGATACGCTGAACGTGACCAGCGTGGCGGATCAGGCGTTGCTGTTGGCCCAGGCTCTGCAGGGAACCCTCTGCTGAAACCTGCTGTTTTTTTTCTTCTTCTCCAGGTTTAGGACACATTCCCCTTGTTGTGGTGGTTTCTCTGGTTTCTGTTCTGGCACCAACCCTTTTGCCATGGTTTTTACCTTTGGCTTCCAGTTTACACCACCTGCTCCTGGCGTGGGTTCCTGTCGGTTTGCTGACGGTTTGACGGTTTCCTGACAGTTTTCCTTTTGGTTTTCCTTCGGAGGCCTCCGTGGCCATGGTGGGCACGGCGGCCCTGGGCGGGCTGCTGTCCTCCGTGCTCTTCACCCGGACCTCCATCCAGCCCCAGAAGGCGAAAGCGCCGCTTTGGGCGCGCTGAGGGATTTGGTTTTAAAGGGAACACAAAGGGGAAGCCACCATTTTTTGGGGGCCCGTTTGGACTCTTTGCAAAAGATCCGCCCGTCCATTGCTTTTTTTTTGACTTGCTTCTATGGATGTGCTTTTGCAGCTATGGGGGGGTAGCTTCCAATTGGGAAGAGCGGGAATCGTTTTGTCCAGAAAACCACCAAGCATTCAGGGACATCGGCTGTTTTTTGACAACGATGGTTGAACAGAATGGGGAATCTACCCTAGAGGAATTCTATTTCACCGAGCCCAGGGAAAAACCAGCCACAGCAAAAGTCAGATCCCGGAACGCCAGGTGGCCTGCGCGGGCTCGGTGATCCTGGCGGTGGCCTGTCAGTTCTGGGTGTGCCCCTACTTCGAGGCCAAGAGCAAGGCGGCGCTGCTGGGCTTCTTTACCGTCTACGGCTTCGGGAAGGGCTGCTACTTGGCGTGAGAAAAAGGGCTGCTTTTTTTTTCTTCTTCTTTTTCTTCCCCCGTTGAAGGAAGGATGCAACGGGGTTTGGTTTGAAGATACAGCCCGAAAGCCGTGTCTCCCAAGAGCAGCAGAAGGCAAGTCGCCCGGAACGTGGCTACCGGGTCCCTTCGGGTATGGCGGACCCTCAATTGTGGCCCCCGGTTTCCTGGTTGAAATCTCCGACTGAACGCGAACTGTCGCGTGCCGCGATCCGTGTGGGCATGCCAACTGCCGCGAGGCTACATGTCGGCGGACCTGGCGCTGGCTATCGACACTATGCCGGACCCGGACGAGGCGTCCAGGTACCTGGGTCTATGGGGGGTGTCCGCCTTCCTGGGTGCGGGGCTGGGGGGCTTCGCCATGTCCCTGATGCTGGAGGCCGGGTGGGAAATGAATCTTTTCGGCGGGCAGGCTTTTTCTTTTGGTTGTTTTGGAGGGAAACCATAGGAGCATGACTCATGGCTCCCCTTTTATAGGCAAAAGGGGGTGACACCTAAGTTTACATCACACCGCCCTGCAATCGGTTCAATGGGAAACCGAGATGAGATTCATTCAGCATCGTCAAAAGCGACCCCGAAAATGCCATGGCTGGTCGAGGCCGCCCTGCACGAGGCTTGGTTGGAACCAATCCCCATAAACTGGAACTCCCCATAAACTGACACTCCGCAAACTGGCACTAGGTTTCGAATTGGGCCCCTCTTTTTGGCTCAAGACGTTTAGCCCCCTCGCAGTGATACTAAGAGAGTTGAACGCCATGGGTGCGGCAACCTCTTCGCTCTTCAACCGACGTCGCTCGAACTCTGTGCTGGTGCTGGGCCTTGATAGCGCGGGAAAGACGACAATGGCCTACGCCCTGACCTCTAAAGTGGAAATGAGTATCCCGACCATCGGCTTCAATGTGGCGCAAGCCGAAGTGAAGACGCAGATGAATGTGGTCAACATGACTTGCTGGGATGTGGGCGGACGCGATAAGCTCAGGCCCCTCTGGCGCCACTTCTATCAGAACCAGGATGCCATCATCTTCGTCGTGGATTGCCAGGACTTTGACAGGATCGACGAGGTGGAGAGGGAGATCCGGCAGGCCGTGCAGGAAGATATGCTCATCGGCAAGCCCTTGCTCATCTATGCCAACAAGCAGGACTTGCCGGGCGCCATGTCCAGCCAAGAGCTGATTGAGAAGCTGGGCCTACACGGGATTCGGGACCGGAAGTGGCACGTGCAAGAGAGCACAATGACGACCAAGCAGGGCCTCTATGAGGGCCTGGATTGGCTGCTGTCCACCATTAACGGAACCCATGACGTGCCCAGCAGCAGCTTGACGCCGGAGGCGAAGGCTGCCAAAGAGGAGAGAGATGATGCTTCCACGGCTGACACGGAGAGTGCCTACAGGGATCGAACATTTGAAGTGGAAGAGTTGTCAGTGTGAGATCGCTAGTCTGTTTGGCATGTAGTCATTTAGGACTGTCCTTAGAAAAGAGAAGAGCACATTGTGCAGAGTGTGCTGTTCAAAGGCTGTGATGTACAGTGGACTCAGTCAGTGCGGAAAAAACAAAACAAACACACACACACACACACAGACACACAAAACAACAGCTACAGTGCACAGCCCCCCCCATTCCTCCGAAGGTCTTCGGAAAGATGCTGCCCGAGTCCTATGGCACAAAAGTGAAGCGCCTCAGTCGCAAGGCTCTGTCAAAATATCCAGGGGGGGGCTGGGATCAAAGATACGAGCAGCCGACACAATTGCCGGTAATCTATTGCTGGTTTGGGGAGGCCATGTGGAGGGGACTCGCTAGATTTTCTGAGTCCTTCATGGCAACCGAATATTTTCAGCGTGGCTCCAGTTGATCGAATCAGGTGTATACAAGCGGGCGTATACATTGCGAACCCAGCATCATTCCTCTCCCTCTCACAAACGGAATCCAGCACAGATACCCCTTTTCATCCTTTAGCTTGATTCATCCGGGGCGGGTGTGGGTGGCCCAGGAATGGCACCTACTGCATCCAGGGCTATGTGACGCTTTTGTTGGCCTGCACGGGGTGCCATTTGTACGTGGCCCACTTGTGCCTGCGCATCCGTACCCGGCGCCAGTACGAGCAGCAGAACCGTTCTGCCTCAGAGCGGAAGACCAACGCCTTCTTGGTGTCCACGCCGCCCAACGACAAGGCGCGGCCTTTTGGCTGGGCCAGATCTGTTGGGATCTGTTGGGCCCGAAGGGTCTTTGGGCCTTTGACAGCTTGAGGTGACCTCCTTTGTTTTTTGCTCGAATCTGTCCACCTTTGAAGCATGCGGGCTGGGAGACAGGATCATGAGGCCTGCACAAATTTGTTGTGACAGGATGGGAAGATGTTGAGGTGCGAGGTCAGAAAGACCGTCCGCTGGGCCATAGTTCGCCATGCCAGGAACGGTGGAGCGAGGATTCGAAGCCGGAGGACACATCCAATGCCGTGGATGGCTGATGGGTTATGGCCTAGGCCAAGAAGCTGCGATTGCCATATCGATTTGGAAAAAGCGGCGCGACCGGAGTTTCTTTGGCAAGATTTCTCATGGGGAGTCGCTCCGAAGGTGTCTTTCCTTGGTCTCCGTAGCCAGTACCCAAAGTGCTTTCAGGACGGCTCTTGGCTATTCGGATCCAAATGGACTTTCTTTCCAACTGCGGAGTGTAGTTCGCTGCAACCGCAAGCCTGGGCTCACGGAGGCTTCCTGAGATATTTGCCAGTGCCCAACTCTTGGGGAAAGCACAAGCTCTCGCAAGCCCCACAGCCAAAGCAGCAAATGCTCAAAAAATCGTATCAGCCGGGCGATATCCTTGTCTGATAAGGCAGTCACTGACAAGACAAGTTGTACGTACCATCATCTTTCAGAGTCTCCATACGAACGTGAGAGTTGCAATAAGGCCGTTTTAGTTTGTCACCTCCCCAAGCAACAGAGTCCGAAGGGGGGGGGGGCATTATTGAACACAGAGACAATATATATATATATATATCTATATAGCGTGCCAATGCTGGCATCGCGCGAGCGGAGGCATGGGTTGTTGCAACGCAGCACGTGCCAAAGACTCGTGTACTCGGGTTTCGTAGGGATGGTCCACCGCTCAAATGAGGCTTTAGACAACTGCGGTAAGGATTCCTATTAAAAGAACCATAGCCACAGTTCCTATTCAACAAACCTTATGCTTTTTTGCCAGAGTTGCCGCGCCCGGGGGGAAGGGAGAGATTGTCACATCTCGGCATTTCTGTTTGCAACGATCCAAGTGTGTCTTGAAAGTTAACTCATCAGCTTGGCGCAAATGGTGCACAGGAGCGGCAATGTTCTCCAGGACTCGTGCTACGGTCTAAGATGGTTTCCACTCCCCAAACCACAGCCCCTCAGGGGATTCATGGGATATCCAAACTATACAACGCCAGCCTATCAAGGGCCCATTCTCCTGGTGGTAGTGGTTTGGGGGCAGTGGACACCATCTAAGATATGGGTACTTGCATGCTTGTCGCAGACACCCATCCCATCTCTTGTGGAGGGTTCCGTCACAGCAGCCAAGGTTGTTGAGCAGCTTTGTCAGTCACAGAAGCTGAGGCAGTTGACACTATGGTTTGTTGTAAGCTGTGGCTTCTGGCTCTGGTGAAACGTGTCAGCTGCAAGTTGCAAGTTCTCGAGGACGCTGCTTGCGCTCTGTTGTTTTGGCAAGTTGTTGCTAGTGGCTTACTTCCGGTTGCTTATTGTTTGCTTTGTTTTGCTTGATGTTTGCTAACTGCCGGTTTTTGTTGCTTGTGAGTCAGGAAACGATGGCTTGAGAGTATCTCCCCAAAAGTACTGCTTCTCCCAAAGCTCAGTATTTTGCAGCCTTTCTGGGCAGCGAGGGGGAGAGGCTGCTGAACAACATGTTTTATATTTCGATTTAACATTTGCAGTGAGCTAAAAGTAGCGCGTCACAAGCCCTTGACCGGAGGCATCACCAGGAGCGTTCCATGCCATCTTTATGCTTACAATGAAAGCGCCAGTCTCAGCCGAAGCAAACAGTTGCAGCAAGTTGGCGCCAACAAGCCCACTGCAAAAAGTCTGTTTGGCTTCGGCATCCTTCTGCCCTCCCAGCGCGCCACCCAACACAGTTCGTTGTCGCCCGTTGAAATCCTGATCCGACACGTGCGCATGCGAAGCAAAGTGCCGGATGCCCTCTGGGCCTGGGCACTTTGCCTTTGTGTCAGAAGCTTCAGCAGAATTTGACTTCCTTTGTTTTTGAGGGGGAGTTGACTTCTTTTGAGGCTGCCTGTTACCGAGATGGCTGGTGGTGCTTGCGCGGTTGCTGTTGCTGCTTCGATGCTTGCACAATAACTCTTGGCTTTAGCAGGGGCTGGGGTGGCTTCCAGATGGTATTGCAAGCTTCTTTTGCGGCCGGTGTGCCACCCTGGTCTTGATTGCCGTTTGTGATGATGATGTTGTGGTCTCGCTGCTCTGCTTCTTCCTTGTCTTCTCCTTCTTCTTCCTCCTTTTGATTCTCCTCCTGCTCCAGCTTCTTATTGTTGGTGTCCAAACGGTGGGTTTTTTCAGGGCCTGTTGTTTCGGCCCAGGAAGGCGAATCAATTTTTGGTTGACTTTGACCCCCCCCCCTTCATGAATCAATTGGAGCGCCGGATGACTCAACCCATGGTTGATCGTAGACAGGTGTCCCTTTAGAGGAGATACCCTCTTTTGTTGATTCAGAACAGGGGCTTCTTTTGTGCACATACAGGGAAGGTCACTTTTGGGGAAGCACCTCTTTCATTTTGCTGCCTTCCCATTATCTATTGTTTTTTGCTGGAAGCTTGCGTCGCGGCAAGGACTACGCAATGAAAAGGCGCCGCGTGGAGCCGTCGGCCGATGGGGCCACAGACTCAGTTCATGATAAACACATGGCGCCCAAGATTCAACACTCATTTGTCATGAGTTTTGAAGTCTCATTTTGATCTAACCTGGGTGCAGAACCATTTTCAACAGGTTGCCGATGGTAGTATAATTCGTCAGGAGCATGTCCTTGAAATCATTGGCATGCTGTGTGCAAGCAGGCATATGGTGGACTATAGTGCTCCTGAGTTGGGTTTTCCGAGCCCAGTGCTGCAAAATGGTGGTGCCTGCTGGTATTTTCGCATAGACTGCAGCTGTTGGACTGTATGGCCCAAACATTCTTGCTGAACCTAGCAGGCACACATTTCGGCAGGATGCTTTCCAATCTGCTCTCGCACCCCCCACACGCACGCACTTCTGCATCCCGCCCGCCCGCCCCCGCCCCGCCCCGCCCCGCCCCCCCGCCCCGCCCCGCCCCGCCCCGGCCCGGCCCGCCCCGCCCCGCCCCGCCGTGCCGTGCCGTGCCCCGCCCTCACCCGCCCGGCCCGCACGCAAACGCAAATGCAACCGCAAATGCAAACGTAAGCCCAAAGCCAAAACAAACACGGGAGCCAGAGCCCGGCCGTACCTTGGCAAAAACCCGAGCTAGTATGAGATTTGAGAGCCCGTGATGGATTGAGGCCGTGTACTTCATCGAGCAACGGCTTGTGGGATGGATTATCGGCAAAGGCGCGAGATGTGTTTGAGGACTGTCCAGCAGCCGCTCGGTGCTGTTGCAGGTGGCGCTACCTTGCGCGAGATTGAGCAGGAGTGGCCTGCAAGGATATAATGCAGTAATGCACAGATTTCGTGGGGTTTTGTGAGTGAACAACAAGTACGGGCAGGTGTGGCGGAATTCAAGCTGTTGCCAACTTGCGTGCGACATGTGAATCCTGGGCTGTGTTTGCAGGCTTATGCCGTCAAAGTGGTGGTTGATCAGAGCAGCAGCTTGACAGATTGACAAATGGAAGCGCCGTAGTGAGCGGAAGGGTGTCTGCCTCCCAGGTAAGACGTCCGGCTTTAGCAAAATCCAGATTTCTGGCGCGGACGGTGACATCCAAAAGGCCGATTCAGGTCCAGCAGGGTTGAGCAGAGTGATCCCCATGGCAGGCAGCGGAGCACATCAATGGCTCGCTGCCATGATCTTGGCTGCACTGCCTGGGTTGTTCCAACATGTTCCAATGGATCCTTCATCCTCGTGCCAGGTATCAAGCACCTGGGTAGGTCCTTGGTTTGGGGAACCCCCTTTTTGGGTTGAAGGGTTGGGAATCGAAATGGGAAACCTCAGAGTCCACGCCCTGAAGCCGAGGGCCAGCGCGGGCAACCCTGGCGAGGCAATACCCTGCTTGCAGGACCCGGGTTGAGCGAGGCGAGCGTCTACCAGTTTACCCCGGACCGAGTTATGGCTTGTAGATTTGCTTCCTTGTTTGAGACATATCTTGGGGAACCCTAGGCCCTGTACCGCTTGACCTTGTGAACAGGCACCAGCAGGTTTCAGCCAGTGCACATACCCATGTGGAGAAACGTCTCAGGATTGCGCTTTTTCTTTTTCCTGGAAGTCTTAGGAACAGGCCAACCAGTTTTGGTCTTTGGTTGACTCCTGCAGCAAAGGACAGCTTGCCGCGCCATGACATCAGCAACGAGGAGATGGAGGTCAAGATGGGCGCTGAGTTGTTATGCACAGTCATAGTCATCAACTTGTGCGTCAGGCAATGTGTTAGTTTGCCAATGCCCATGCCGACCTGATGTGCAAAGATCACCTATGTTTGGGGCAGAAACCCCACGGCGGGTTAGCAAAGCAGTCATGATTGTGTGGTTTGCAAGGCTTTAGCCTTCCCAGTCCATCCAGTAGGTAGCCAGGTTTTGTGACCCTTTGGGTTACATGATGGTTTGCCCTGGTTGCCAAGCATTGCGGTAGCTGGATCGGGCCTAGCACAGACTTAGGCAGCGGTACGTTGGCTGGCTGCTCGGCAAAGCCGGCAGCGCCATTGCCGAGATTGAGAAGGACTGCGTCCGTGGCACAAAGCGGGTCCACAGATCTGCAATCTCAGGTCGTGCTGCAGATGCGGCTTGTCTTCAAATGAGGGCTCGCCTTACAATTGTCAGTTTCCGGTTTTCTTAAAAATAGGGTCCCCTCCAAAAGTCAAGCCCATGTAATACAGTCTTTGAGACAAGCCTTGTCTCTGAGAATACTGGCTCAACATGGTTTGGATCCATATGCTCATGGTCTTGCATGCCGCCACCTCTGGCCTCGTTGGCGCAGGAGAGTGGCTGCCAAATCTTCGTGAATCAGGAGACCAAAGCGTTGGGGCACAGCATCGTGGGCAACCCAACGCATTGGTTGCCGCTACCCCGACCACCCGACCCAGCCGCATTCATGCAAGGTGCAGCTCATCGGCACAGATGAGCAGCGAGCAGCTGCCAGGCATGCGGATGCATTTGTGGCACGTTTTCAGGGCACCCTCAGCTTGCTTTAAAGGGACAGCAAAAGAGAGGCCACCACTTTGGGGTCCCCGTTCTTTTCGCACGCCAACGGGACTTTGAACTCCGGACAAAGACACGAGCTTGACCAACTGGCGGAGTCTCCGAGCTCAATGGTTTGGGAGCATGTCTATTCTCCCTCGCTTCGCTTCGTGCTGAGACGCAAGATGGATTCCTCCGAAGCAAACCGCGCTGCGCCGTTGCAGTTGTTCATTGATCCCTTTTTTGCAACCTCCACCTTTGGATATCACGAATTTGGATTTTCATTTGATTCGGGGAACCCCAACTTTCCAGGCTGACCATCGAGCAGTCCATTGACAGGGCGAAGGCGTGGGTCAGATCGTTTCGAGCTGAGAGTCCATGGCTGGAGCCAGGTAGCTCGCGAGGGCCAGTTGGCGGAGGACACGGCCGGCTTCGGCTTCGGTGCTGTGGGCACTTTTAAGTGATACGAGGTCCGTTCAAAAAGGGGAATTGATCTTCCAGGTACCCTCCACGAAGGCTAGGATTTAAACGCTGTGGGGCTTGCTTGAGGTTATTCCCGGATGTCTTTGGATAAGACGAACAGCGACGCTTTGGGTTGAGATGCTGAGTGCAGCGCTGCTCAGGAGCGGGTGGAGATCGAGCAGCGCTGGGTTGGCTGGTTGCTGGGGAAGAAAGGCCAGTTTGGCAGGTGAGACCTTCTGCCTGGAGGGTGCGGATGATGATTTTGTGAGGGTTGTTCGAAAGAAACATGTGCTGCTTTGGATTTTGAACCTAAAAAAGGCCATGGTCCGAAATGGGGACCCAGTTTGTTTAGCCCTTGTGTGCCAGGCGGGCAGGTGCAGATCATTGAGCAGGAGAGCAGAGACATCTTTTGGTGGCTGTGGGGATGACTCGGAATGGGAACCCGGGATTTAGTAAACCCCTGATTAACTCATAGAGTGTGTCGCATTTCACAGAAAACCCTTCGCTTTCGGAGAATTGATCATGGTCGTGGCACTTAAGTTCAGAACAGCCACCTTGTGGAAATACCCCCTCAATCGCAAGGTTCTACTAAGATCCCTGGGTCGACGTTAACGTTCGGGGAGAGTGTGTGAGGAGACCGGAGCGCAGATCCGCATTGACCAGTCCACGAAGCAGTTGGGCTATAGCACAGCCGGATTCCCAGGCCCTTGAGACGGCAAATCGTACCTGAGCCCAGGTCCAGCCAATGTTTGACAGGGATGGAGGGTTGTAACGTGAACTCTTTGAGTGAGCTTTCTGAGAATATTGACAGGTGAACATGGCTTTACTCAATGATGACGAGGCTGCCAACAATGTTGTTGAACTGGTGCAGGGGGTGGAATGCCCTTTCCAATTTTTGACCTCTTGGAGATTGATCAGCTGGGATTAGCCAAGGTGGTCCTTTCCGGCACGGCTGACCAGGCCACTTTGCACGTGTGGTGTTGGAGACATGGAATTTTGATTTGCCGGCATGTTCACAGAAACAAAGCAAGGCACGCCCAGCTATCTTTGCGGAATGTTTTCAGCTGCTTTGCCAGATTTACCAAGTGTCACGAATATGCGCGCTTTCCTTTGCGTTTGTATTGGAGGAAACTGGTGTGTTGTGGTGTCACACACACACACACGCACACGCAGGCGCGCACAACTTTGCGGCATGCAATCTTTCTTTTTCCTGTTTCTTTTTGACAGGTTGACAGCGCCAGGGATCGGGTCAACGCTTCCTTGGAGAAGGCCTGGTGCGTTACACCAGTTCGGGAGGCTTTGCTGGAGCGACAAGATGAAGTGCCTATGGTTCAGGATATAATTTTGAGGAAAGCACGGCTCACACATGGCCATCTGCTTGAAGCTTGATTGTGTTGGCCTCCTGTCATGGGATCCATAACCACAGCTGTTCCGGGACTGGGCTGGGCTGGGTTCATGACCGACACGCGGCGAAGCCTGGAATTTGTGAGGGATTTGGATTCGCACCAAGCGCGGCCAATTGGTGACTGCTCGATCCGGGCGCACCAGGCGGGAGCCACGCCAATGCCGGCCAAGAGCGGGGTGGGGCAGCCCGGGCAACAGTTACTCTCCCGCCACATGGAACCTAACAGGGGGTGGTTGATCTTCCAGGTACTCGCAAGGTGCTATGTTGGAAAAGTGTATAATATACGGATGGTGTTCTACTAGCTTTCGACCATGTTGATAGCCCCGATGAGTGCTTCGTGACCCAGTCGGACTGATGTCCTCAACAAAAAGATGGGCGCCGTAGCTGGATGCAGAGACGGACATTTATTGTTTGCAGCTATGATCCTTGTGATGTTTGCTTGGGCACCCACATGCCTCACGCCTGTGTGAGAGGAATTCAAGTTGCAGAACCTGGGCATCCTTGAGCCATAGTAAGACATGAGTAGCAGAAACAGTTATTGGTGGCCTGTTGTTGATGTGGCGAGGACATGGGGTTTGCTCCAACTCCCTACAAAACCCAGGATTCACAAGCACACTACCCGTATCCTCTTCGAGATCAAAGAACCTTGCTAGTGATTCAGATATTCTGCTTCTCATATGCCAATTTTGGTGATTGCTTTGAACTGTGAGAGAGCTTGGCAGGAGATTCTGGCACCACGTTTGCAGTATCCCCAATCTGGTCGTGTGCCTGCACAGGCCGTGCGCGCACAAGCTGCTGCCGATTTGGTCATTCCTCCGGGTGGTAGCGAAGGACTGTTATGCGCTGCCAAACCATCTCTCATTGGCTGACCCATTTGGCATAGCAACGGTACCTGGGTCACATGAGGCAGCAAGTAAACAAGTGGGACCGGTATGGAGGGGAAGGTGAGATCACCCTTGCCGTGTGCCCACCATGTTAGTTTGCCCCACAGCGATGGTGTCATTTCTCATCACTTTTGGATGAAGGACACCAACCAACTGGCCAGGCCTGCATCCCCCCCGTCCCCCCAAAACAAATAGCCATGTCTTGCTGTTTGTGGGCCTCTCTCTCCCTCGCTCTCCCTCTCTCTCTTTCTTGGTTCCTGCTGAGCCAGGAAGCTCGCTGAGCGCCCAAGTCACCGCTGGGCTCTTATCTCTGGTTGTCAAATGAGATGTGTTCCCCCCTGGTTGGGAACGGTGGTTTTGCCATCCTTTGAGCTGTCCGTGTTTTGTGTAGAAGCTGCATGTTCCAAGTTTGCCGGTTGAACGTACAGTGCTTTTGAGGAGGCTACACAGATTTCTTCGGAATAGGTTGAGCAATCTTGGAGCTTTCGAAACAAAGACAAGTTTCCTGGAAATCAGACCACGGAAAGGTAAGTTTGTAAACTGAGAACGCGGCAGCTGACTCATAAAGAGTTGAGATTCGTCGTGGGAGCTGCTTTCCTTCAATATCAGTTTCAACTCTGGTGAAACATGCAAAGGCTCAACCAAAACTCAGAATATAAAAGCTGCCAAGTTCTCCAAACTTGCTCAAAACCAAACAGTGACGAGCTTTCAAGCACTGGCTAAGAGTTCGCTTGCAACACAACTGGCACACAAGCGCAGTATGATTCATGTATGCTGTTCCAGAGCCGCTCTAGCGGTGCAGTGGTGTGTGTGTGTGTGTGGGTGCGTGTGTGCGTGCGTGCGTGCGTGCGTGCGTGCGTGCGTGCGTGTGCGTGCGTGCGTGCGTGCGTGTGCGTGCGTGCGTGCGTGCGTGCGTGCGTGCGTGCGTGCGCGTGTGTGTGTGTGTGTGATCAGCCACACTGCCACCCACAGCTGCATGAATTCTAACAAAGGGTTCTTTGCGAAGGACGACCAGCCTTTAGGTGGAACATCCCTCTTGTACCTGTCTGGATGTGGTCTCTTCCAAGCTCCGGCCCCCTCCTCACCTTTGCCTCTCTGCTGGTTGGGGCTTGGGATCGGAAAGTGGAGCGACCGTCGTTGAGTTGCAGACGAAGTTAGACAGCAGTTGGAGACCGGTGTTTCCTTTGCCACAGCCGGAATTGTGGCAAACATGTTGTTCCACCCACTTTTCCGAGAGTGAAAACAAGCAGGGCAATATGTTTCTCCCCTTCCATGTCCAATATTCCCACTGCTCATTGAATCAGTTGGAGCCGTTCGGTCTCAGGTGGAGCAGCAGTGGGTGGGCTGGCTCCTGGGCAAGAGCGGGGCCGCGGTGCGAGACATCGAGGCTGGCGTTCTCCGTTTCACTTCGGAGGGTTTTACTCGCCGGTGAAAAGGAAGGGTCCTGAGGGTTGGTTTTCAGGGTATAGAGGCGTGTTTTGGGTGGTTTCCATTGCATTTCCTTGAAGCACAAGCCCCGAAAAGGGTAATTACGGAGCAGCAGAGCAATGTTGGTGTAAACGCAAAGCAAGGGGTTGGCGCAACCTTGACTTCGATCACCAAGAAACAGTTTGTAGCCATGGCAGGGAATGGTTCTATGATGAAATGGTACTGCTTGAACAGATTTGTTTTGACATTTCAGCGTTGACAATTGAAGCCTTTCGGGCAGCAACCCCTTGTCGGGTTCCACCTCAAGGTGCACGAGAAGATTGGGACCCCCATGGTGGCCCAACCTGCAAGGGTACCGAGCTTGGAAACACAACACACCCAGTGATATTCGGGGAGAGTAATGGTAGTAATGGGAGCAGGGTTCCAATTGCAGGTGTCCCCAAAGACTTGAACCCAGGCCTTGCCCTTCAAAAACCACCCCTGGGTTTGAGTCTATCATTAGGAACGGTTCCCCCCCAAAAAAAAAAGAAACAAACATTTCTTAAAGCGGAAGCACCCCTGATCAGTACGGTCCAGATCAATCCGAAGCCAACACCAACATTATGGTCAAGATGCATCCTCAACTGAACCGGGATTTTGGTAACCCATTCCCTGATGGTGTTTCGGGGCACAGGAGCTCCTCCCTTTCACGGATAGATGTTGGGGTTGACCAAACATGGGATGACCATGAAGGAAACCACCAAAAAAGGATGACTTTCACCACATTTAGTGGAACAAGTTGCCCATTTTGGGGGCCCGAGGTGGAAGATTGATCAACTTTCGCGTCACCGAAAGCCCGAAAACCCATGGAGCGCTCGGATCGCTTTTTTGACGTGCCGTTGCCGTGAGGCGAGCTCCGGGGCGCGGATCGCGGTCAATCAGGAGAGGGCGATGCACGGCTCGGGTTTGCTTCGGCTTCCGTTTCTGTGTAGAGCTTCCAAGAGGAGCCACAGAACCCAAAAAGCACGTGGTTCTGTCTGTGTTTTTTTCCCCCAAAAAAAGATTGGACCACGCGTTTTTGGATTTAGCACAAGATTGGGGAATGCTTGGTCTCGTTTTGATCCCATTTCAAGTTATGCCCCGAGAGGCTCTCTATTCTGAGACAGATCCAGAAAGGCAAGCCCGGAGTTTGCTTCTTGTGACAGGACTTGAGATTTTCTGGAAGCTTACAAAGAGGGGCATCAAATTGAAATCCTAGCCTTGCAGGGGGCTTCATGACGCTTCAGTTTGTCCAGGGCAAAGAGAGAGTGTGTGTGTGTGTGTGTGTGTGTGTGTGTGTGTGTCTGTGTGTGTGTGTGTGTGTGTGTGTGTCTGTGTGTGTGTGTGTGTGTGTCTGTGTGTGTGTGTGTGTGTGTGTCTGCGTGTGTGTGTCTGCGTGTGTCTGTGTTTGTGCGTGAGCGTGTGTTTGCGCAGACCGATCCCCGAGAGTGGTTGGGCAGCGCCACACTGTCACCGGGCTTCTCGGGGCTGAT